TGTAGTCACGTGTTCTGACAGTTCAATATCTAGTTACAGTGACGGACCGGTGCTCAGAATTCCCTTCAATTTCCATATTTTTGTCACGAGATACAGCCATCTACCACCATCAATTTGACCATTGTATCATAAGCCACACCGACGTGTTTTGTGTGATTTACTGGTATTTTAAGAGTGCGGCTTGTACTCCGGAAAATGTGGTGTAATTGTTCTACATGTAGGTATGACAAGAACGAAGCAAGCTTTCAATATATCACAGTTTTCGGAACAAATAATTATGGCAAATATGATGCTGCAGGCTGGCCTATGCAATGTACATGTTGTTGTGCTTCACTTCAGGTCCTGTCTGGTTGTGCGCCTGTCTAATTCTGAGCCTGCTTGCATCAGCTGCATCCACGACAGATAATAGTACCGAAGAGATTGGTATGTAATGCTTGCTCAGCTTACCAAAGCATGCTTCATTTTGATCATGAGGAAGTATCGGGCCTTGCCCACATGCCTAATGTTGGATTTCACAATTGTCTGTTCCTGGTGGACTTAAACACAGCCCCAAAAAGCGAGTGGACCACAGTATTTGTATTATAGGGACCGGCGGATAATGCTGGAAAAGGTGGCAGATTCTGCTCGAAGAGCAGTGAAATTGGCAGAACCATACAAACCTTATGGCGGGCAATTCCTCGAATTCTGCTCTATTTCTTTATCCACATACCAAGCATGCATGAATTTTACCAGAAAAAGTACCGAATTCTGCCAATTTTTCTGCCGGCAGAATCCGCCGGACCCTATTTGTATACTTAACAGTAACGTGCTGGTTGATACACCAAAGAGGTCACTAGCTTTAATAGTGGACATTTAACCTCTTGTTTACTTTCATCACCACCTTTACGCACGGACGATGCATGTATCGAACACTGCGGCAGGTGACAGATAAAGTATATGGGCCTCAACCAGCGAAAACAGCACTTAGGGTCAACATTTTCAAAATTCCTTTTTGATTAGAAATTTGTTGAAACACATCTTCTGAAGGACCTCTGCCAAGAATAAATTCAATATTGCGATTCTAAACGGGTGTATACACCAATATACAAGATGTACTCCAAATTGGTGCAATGTATGTATACGATGTATGTGTACAATGAATATTCAGCATTCGAAGTTGGGTGGGCAGCTTGAATACTTTTTCAAATAGTGCAGTAAGCAGCTAGAATGACAAAGAATAGCTGAGCAGTGCGGAGAAATGATCGACATATTCGCAGCTGCATCCTGCGTGGAGTCGTTCCGCCATCTCGTCTTCCATTTCTTACTCCGCAGCTGAAGACACGACGTCGCTGCCTTCACTAGCCCCAGACTCAGAATTTATCTCAAACGACTCAACATCATCCGACTCTGACGAGTCATCGGCCACCTTGAGCCGCATCGCAGCAGGAGATGACGGCTGCGATTCCGCCTCGCTGTCGACATCGATGTCGGAACCAAAGAACGTCTCATCCTCACTCTGAACTAACTTCAGCGGCTACTTCAGCATCCACAACCCGCCAGACTCGAGCTAGCTGTACACAATGACTGCCGTGTGTGCTCTGCGAAAAGCTCTGGCGTCCGCAGCCATCGCAACAAGACCAATGAACACTGGAGTCGCCACATGACACCACTTCAACTTCAAATAAATTACTTCAAGCAAGGAGTTCAACAAGTCGTCGCCCTGTTTGCAGCGCGATCAAAAAATCGTTGAACGTCACAAATCGACCTTTTTCTCGAAAAAATTACGAAATCTCTAAGGGTCGTTTTCGCTGATTGCGGCTCATATGGTGAAAAAATTCAAATTTTCTTAATCGGTCAATGCTCACTTGTTTCAGTGGAGAAAAACAAGTATGCGGATCGAAGAAAAAAACGCTCATCTGTCGTCTTGAAAAATTGCTCATTCGTCAATAGCTTAGCTCTATCATTACAGATCAGTTTCTCTTCCACAAAAGATGTGTATGAACACAAACACCAATTTTACCACTGTCCTACTTTCACGAAATGTCAACTATTTACTTCAACAAATAAATAGTAAATAGTTGACATTTCGTGTGTTTTTAGGACTCTCTTATTACATGTATATTCCTTTTCACCATTCTGCAGTTGCACGTGTGTGTTCACCTCATTGGCCTCGCTCGTTCCTCATTTCTTTTGTTCATTTGGCTTATGCGAAGACTAGCCAAACTTGCTTGGTGATGTCAACGCGAACAAGCTTATAATAATTACTTTCACGGTCAACTGGGTACTCACTACTCAGAGTGAGGGTAACATGGATGCAGCTAACGAGGTTCGCCCTCTTGATGGGCATTGGTTCTGAGAGTTACCACCTCCCCCTCGCCATTAGGTGCTGCATCTGCCACCCTGGTATTGTAGGCATGGTGGTGGCCTGTCCGACGAGTGAAACTTCCCAAGCTGGTTGTGTTTCTCAACACAATTGTACAGTCAGACCTCGCTTATCCGGTCCTCTTTTATCCGGATCCCTCGCCATCCGGAAGAAAATAGGTGGGTTACCAATTTACAGCATATCACGCATACATATAGTATGTGTGTTCGATTATCCGGTTCCCTCTCCTATCTGGATATTTTGTGGAAAACGGATGTGTGCGGCTAAGCGAAGTCTGACCGTATAGCCGGTTGTAACGTGTACATGTGAACTTTACTTACTTATTGTTTAGATCCTTGTCCACAAGATAGCTCACCTGATTTCTCCCCCGACAAATTTCTTTCTTTTTTTCCATATCCAGTGACATCATCATCCACTCAACACCGCTCTACGTCCTCGAAGGCCACAACAACAGTCGTCACAAGCTCCTTAGTCCCCGTTACCCAGACAAGTATGGGTAGTATCACACCAAGCCCAATGCCCGCCACATCACCGCCTATTAGCAGCACCACGGAACATGCTAAAGCGACCAATAACACGGAGAGGAGCACCACCAGTCCTGTCGCTGTTCCACTGCAGGGCAGCAGTACCGACTTCAGCACCGTCACCAGCAGCGACAGCAACAACAGTAGCAACACCATCGGAAGTGGCACCGTCGCCACTGTCATTACAAGCAGTGCTGGCAGTAAAGATGATCCCGACAACCCCAGCAGCACCAGCAGCAGCACCAGCAGCAGCAGCAGCGGCACCAGCAGCAGCAGCAGCAGCAGTAATAGCACCCACACCTACAACACTATTACTGACAATAGCAGCAAAACCAGTGGAACTGACTCTCACAACGCCACCACCACACCACTGTTAGGTACAACACAATCACCTGACTCTTCTCCACCCAGCACAAGTCCACTTGTATACACAACACAACCACCTGATAGACAAAACAACAGCGTCATGCCAATCGCACATACAACACAACCACCTGATACACAAGTGGAGATCACCTCAACTGGTACAACAAAATCCAGAAAATCAACTGCCTCTAGTGGCAGCATAGCTACATCTTCATTTTTGGTGACATCTTTTCCACCATCAACAACTAATGCTTGGCACAGCACCCACCGTTCCACTCCACTACGGACTTCAACACCACAGACTGAGGCAAATACTGCGGGTACCACGTCAGCGCAGCAAGCGGTTACTCCCTCGCCAGTTGCAAATAGCTCATCATTTCACTCCAGCACCGCTACCATCACTACTGCGCATGATGATGTCATCACATCTGACAGTGACGTCATTACCACCACCAATGACACAACCACGAACTACAGTGATGTCATCACGTCTAATGTGACGTCACTCTACACCGACAATGTCACTACCACAGTGCAGGTTGATTCGACCGATTCTGGCGCCGGACCAAGCAGGGGCAGTGGAGTTTCAGCCGGCACCGTGGCCATCATCATCATTGTCTTTGTTATCGCCATGGTGACGGGAACGGTCATGACGTGTGTGTATCGCAGCCGCAGGACATACGTTGCGCCTCGCGTTTCCTGCATGCGTCATCAAAACAGCCTATCGGCGCGGCTGAGCGCCAGCTTTCTGTGGAACGGCGGAGGTGGCGGCGGTGGTAGCGGTGCAAACGGTCAGACGGCTGATGGCGTCGATATGCAGTACACAGTGCGCAAGAACTCGCTCAGAAAGATACGGGTGCCGTCACGAGTGCCACGCAAGACCTCGTCCTCGCCGTCGTGCACACTTGCCACTCAGAGCCGAGCGGCCGGCGGTGGTGGCGGAAGCAGCCTCCGCAACTCAGTGAGTCTCGGCAGCCGTCATAACCAGCGCCAACAGTCTGCCCTGAGCGTCGTTAACCCGTGCTTCGAGGATCCCGTGGCGCCGCAGCAGTATCGCGACTGCGACTATGCGGAAAGTCTGGCCGATCCCTCAGTGTTCCACGGCGCAGTCAGCTCATCTCTGCCCGGAATGCTCGGCGATATGCCCCTGGAGATGATTGGCTCCCAGGTCATCAACATGGAATACGCTGACCAACCACCAACCAAATGCAGTCAAGCAGAGGCTGACACCAACGTCGACGCTGACACGACAGTCAGCGTTAGCCAATCTCTACAGCATAAAGGGCTGAGTGCTTCGGCAATCGAGATCACAGGCCATGAGAAGACTGTGGTGAGGTCTGCACGAGACGCAAGCGTAGAGGAGAACAAGGATACAGCCACCAAGGACAAGCAACCATGATTATGTTTCCCCATGTTTAGGCTTTTCTCCCAATATGGTGCCCCTGCCATTCGGAGATGCCGAGACCTCTGGTCCGGCGATAGAGCATGGCAGGACCCACCAGCACTCTCTCACCCCATGCTAGCCCCATGTGCCTGCCAGTGAGTTGTGTATCTTGTCACGAAAAATTGCATGAGTATGCTCATTGAGAAAAGCACCTAATTGAACATCATTGCTTCGCACCTCGGGTCATCTCCGCCATGCTTCACCATTTGACAATCAGACATTCTCCTTTAAACTTTATAGTGTAATTGCACTGCAGCCTTGTCATGAAAATAGCAAATTCCATTTCACACAGCTGACATAAATCTTTGGTTACACAAAAATTCAATATTTCCCCGCCATATTTTGCCGGCTTGAGACATTTTCCCTCCCACCCCCTCACCCCGAAATTTTGGAAAGGTTGAAGACATCTTTTGCAGCTGTGTGGGTTATGACTTGCCGCAATGACCAAGGATTGACCTTGCTCTGTGATTTGCATTTTTTTTTACTTCATCTTCCCATTGCTGGGAAAAAGGCAAAATGATGTTACTGTGGGAGAGGGCGACAGCCAGTCATGCCAGATTATACAGTCAGACCTCGCTTATCCGGTCCTCGTTTATCCGGATCCCTCGCCATCCGGAAGAAAAAAGCTGGTTACATATTTACAGCATACGTGATGCATCCAACATAAACGGTGTTCGGTTATCCGGTTCCCTCGCCTATCCGGATATTTTTTGGGAAAACGGATGTGTGCGATTAAGCGAGGTCTGACTGTATTAAGCGAGGTCTGACTGTACTGCAATTATTTCTAGCTGTAACCCAGAAGCTGCGACAGACTCGGCCATTTGAAAATAATTTTTTTAGGTGGACAGTTTCAAATTATTTCTAGTTTTGGATCGGATATTGCATGGTATTTTTGAGCACTCCCAGCACGGTGACTCTCACTTTCCATCTGCTTGCTTCTCACATTCTTCAGGTCATCATAATCTATGCTTTCAAGTTGCACAAAGATCGGCTTGAGTGGAATATACATAATACTACAAGTAGTACTTCGAAGTAAAATTAATACTTGACACTATCCTGAAGAGAAGGGACGTTTGATAGAAGGAAATGTCTATGCCGTAGAACATTATCCGTACTGTGAAAACGGCCGGAAAGATTCTACCAACTGCTACTTTTGAGTTTTACTTTCATTATATTATTATATTTGTAGGTCCAGGGACTCCGGGTGGGATATCTTGTCCGGAAACACGTCCCGCGGCAGCCTGTTCCATTTACCCACCACTCCACATGGGAACGAATACTGGAGGAGGGCGGGGGCCGTAGGGGTGGGGGTCGGAGCACGGCATGTAGCTTATGCTGGTGGGGGACAGTGTGTTATGAACCCTCTGATTCTCGTAAGTTCTAGGATATATTTGACTAGATCGAATAATAATATTAGCTAACACTACGATCACCAGCCATTTATGGCATGCAAAAGACAGCGTATTGCCGTATATCAGAAAAGCATACCCATACACGTATATAACATGACATGACAGCAGGGGCGGATCCAGGATATTTCCGAGGGAGTTCAATTTTTTCCCAACCTACCGACAATGACGAAATGATGACATACAACTTACTTGATTGTATAAAAGTTCATACGTTCGCGTTATCGGTACCACCTGTAGTACAATAATTGATAAGACAGCCAACATGTATTGCATCTAGTACTTGAACATGCCAACTGCTATACAAATGTACCTTCAGTACCCCTGTTTTCAACACTCTGCAGCTAAAACATTATTGAAGACACGCGGCACAAGGAAAAATGGCAATGTCTTTGCCGCAGACGTTTTTCTTTCCTTTCAGTTGCATCTTCCTCTCTGCTCTGTTTTATTTTCTCTTTTCGTTCGTCCCTCTTGATATTTGTCTTTGTACTGTTGAGGCAACGAACTGAAATAATAAAAACCAAACCAAACCAAACCAGAATAGCTGATTGGTACTTTCTCCAGCAGATCGTCTATAGTAATGGTCCATCATATAATACCACACAATCATCCCCATCTTCAAGAAGAGAGGCTGCCCAACTCAGCCAACGAATTATCGTCCAATATCCCTTCTCCCATGCATCGCAAAACTATTTGAAAAACTAGTCGCCTTTCAGCTCCAGACATACCTCAGCGCAACAGAGAAAATATGCAGTGAACAATTTGCCTATGTGAAATACAAATCCGCCACAGATCAGCTGGTTATTCTAACGCAATATATGGCATGCTACGTTGACAAGAAGGCAAATTTCGATTTAGTCTCCCTCGACTTCTGCAAAACCTTCGACAGAGTAAACCACTCAACTCTGCTTGATCAGATCGGTAGGTTTTCAGACCCCAAAGTCACTGCATGGATACGGAGCTACTTGCATGACAGACAGATAGCGTTACAAGTTGGGTCATGCACATCGTTACCGAACATCACCAACTGTGGTGTGCCGCAGGGCTCACATTTTATCGCCTCTCTTGTTCTTAACCCTTTACCGGCAGCCCCATACTTGAATGCGTCGTAAACGACGCATTCGACATGCATACTAAAACCATGCCTGGTATGACAGGAAGCATCAGCCCACGGGGATTTCCCGTGGCCCTCACACAGCCTGGGTATGATCCTACCCGTAGCTGAAGAGATCTACGCGTGTCCCATTTTGATTTCATTGAGAACTGCGCGATCGAAAACTTACGGAAATACACGCGCGCCGACAATGCCGTCTGCCTCCGTCAAAACGTCGTCAGATGCATTTCCTCTTGCGCAGTGAGTTCCTTTCGTCCTCAGATGACTTCTCCGATGAGGACCTAGCAGACCTTCGCTCTGGGACCGACGACAGATAGATAAAAACTTCGTTCCAGCCACCGATGCAAGCAAATTTCAAATTGCGGAGCGGAGCGTACGCCAAGTAAATTCTCGCGCAAATATCGGGAGCTCCAGCCGCTGAAGACGATGTCATCGTGATGTACCTGGAAGAATCTGATGGTGCTTATGGTGGGAAAGTCATCGAGAGTGATCCCCGTGTCGACATTCTCCCAGAGACGGAGTTTTAGGCCATCGACTTTCTACGTACCTGAGTGACGGCAGCGCAGCGCGACTTGCGCACGACCTTACGGAGCCATCGGACAGCGATTCTGGGGCGATGATGCTCTCAATTGCGAGCGAGGCACGTCAACTGAAGTCTATGATGGCTATGGCGTTCGTTTCCGCTCCGAAGTCGACTTGTTTTGGCAGTATCATGTCAACGTCGGAATCTGACGATTTGCACTATGTACAATTTCCGTGTTTAGACGTATAGGTGCCAATTTAGCAGCGTATGTGTGTGGTATGTGAAAATAAATTTTTCCATGGTCAAGAAGTAGTACCAGAGTTCCAAGAAAACATAACTTGCACATACAAAATGTGCCCTCGTTGTGAGTTATTGGCATCCTTCTCAATGTTATGGATTTCATATACAAAATGCACTTGCCGGTAAAGGGTTAATCTACATTAATTTTTAATGACCTACCTACCTACCGGGGTACTACTACTACTACCATAATCAAGAGTCCATAACCAGGTTATGGACTCTTGCCATAATGCATTCCCATACCTTCCTGTTTGCGGATGATGTGACTTTACTCCACCCATACGAACACACTCCGTCCAGCCCAGCACTGCAAGCCGATATACAAGCGTGCCAAACCTGGGCTCGAGCTAGAGGAGGCGAGTTTCCCCATCGAAAACCTCTGTCATCAGCTATTCCTACAAGTCGGTATCGCCGTCCACAGCTGCAGCATACCAAATAGATGGGGCTCCTCTCAACGGTACCAATGTGCTGAAACATCTGGGAATTCGCTTCACCGCTAATCTGAACTTCCACCAGCATTACATGGATACGAGTGGAAAATTCAAACAGAGAATTGCGTTGCTATGTTACATGGCCCAGCGCCTTACTTCCAAAGCCATGATGCTCCTTTACAAGAGCTACGTTCGACCCGTTATAGAGTATGGTGTTGTGGTGTGGGCGTACCGGCTACCTGCGTCTGATTTGTGTGAGCTAGACAAACTCCAAGCAAGATTCAACAGGTCGTACTTGCGACGGCGTAAGTTTCGATTTGCCTTCGACACGCCAAAGCAAGATCTGAACGCATTCGCCAAACTAGAATCACTGCAGTACCGTAGACAATTCATTAGCCTAGTTACATTGCACAAGTTTATTTTCAAATACCGGAACACCTTGGCTCAGTTCAGTTTTAATATTTCCCGTAGTGAGAGACGCCCCAACAAAATTATCCTCCCCAAAGCCTTGACAACATCCAGATCACTTTTTTTATTCAAAACCTCCCTTTTATAGAATTGTCTCCCACCCACATTGACTTCGGAATCTTCTGTCCATGTATTCAAGGAAGAGCTGCGCAAACATTCTTGTCAGTATTCATGTCTACTCGCTGGCATGCCGTTACCCTGTTCATCGTAGTCCTCCCCCCCCCCCCCCCTCCCAATCTGTACTCTCTTGTATCATCGTCCTTAAATGCGACGGACCCCACGATAGGCGGTCAGCCTTTGGGTCATCCTAATGAAGTTACATGTATTAGTTAACTCGGATGGTGAGCCAATTAAATAATTGTGAAAAGAAGAAGGACAAAAATTTTACGAGTTATGACTAACTGTCCACCAACGTAACCAGATCTTATACAGTCAGCGAGTGCGACAAAATAGCACAAAACTGACAAAGAGTACTGAGACATTCGGCGACCTGACACCTAGCTCCAACACTTCTCCAAGGCGCAAACCATCAACCTTCCAACTTGGAAGGCTCAGGTTCGGAAAGGTCCAAGAGGGGAAGGAAAGCGCAACGAAGAAGAGCACGAGCTACGCATCACGGCAACAAAGAATGCCGAAAGTTACTGGATGATGACGAAGCTAGTAAGACTATTGGACATACCGGCCTCACTACAACTTACTTGACGACGCAAAGCAACAGACCACCCAACTTGGGAGGCTCAAGTTTATGTAATAAACATAGAAAGGGGAAGCTAAGCGAAGACGAATTGTGACAAACCGAAACGTCAACATCCTACTGAACTCCACTATCATGATGGACTAGTTATGTACAATAACAAGTAGTTCCACACGACGTACGTTTCGCCGTATAGGTCATGACGCATTCCCCTCTTGGACCTTTCCCCACATAGGCGTTAGCCTTTGGGTAATCTTGAAATAAAGATTATTCTTATTATGTGCTGCCATAGCCTTTACTAGGCCTTTGGCCTGTGGGAATTGCCCGGTATTCAAAATTTAAATAATAGTAATAATATGGACTGTCCGAGAATACATTCAAGCAGCGCCTCAACAACCACAACACCTCATTCCGTCACAAGAAATACGAGAAAAGCACACGGCTGTCGAGATACGTTTGGGAGTTGCAGGAGTCGAACAAGACCTACAGGCTACAAGATCTGCTGGTCGATCCGATGCAGGGCGCGTCCCTACACCAACACCACCGAGTGGTGCGAACTGTGCCTAACAGAGAAGCTATACATAAGCAATGCAGACAAGGAAATGTCCCTCAACAAGCGCACAGAGCTGGTGTCAAAGTGCCGACACGAATCAAAGTTCTACCTCTGCAACTTTATAACTTAGCGCCCTCCCCGAGTCACTAGCAACCCCAGTCACTAGCACCCCGAGTTGGTGCCAACTCTCACCAAGCCAAAATGGCATGACTAGCATTTTGCCTGTATTCTCCTTTGCCCCGCGATCCGGTAGC